TCAACAGGGTCTCGCTCTGAACCTTTTCCAGGCAGAATTGCTCAGGGATTTTTAGACTTCCATTCTGGAAAAGAGGGGATAGTTATTTTGGTGTGATTGTGGTCTTGTGGTTAGACCTTGTGACGGGGGCCTCAGCCAAAGGGTTCAAATTTTTTTCCAAGCTTTTCCCTCACAACTTGAGTTAATCCGAAACGTTGCTTTTAGGCCACTGGACATGCTTTTCTATATGCCTGTGTTTGGCTGTTTGGATTGAAGGCCCAGCAAGGGAAGGCCCCGTCGCCCATCTGATATGGGCAGGCCTCTACAATTTTATTTCCTAACCAGGACATGACAAACTATGGCCCATAGACCAAAACTGGCTTGCCACCTGCTTTTGTCTGGCCAGTGAGCTAAGAATGACTTTTTATTATCATTATTAATAATGTTTTTTGAGGCAGGGTCTCATTTTGTCACCCAGAGTAGAGTGCAGTGGTGCAATCATGGCTCCTGCAGCCTCAGACTCCTGGGCTCTAGCAGTCCTCCTGCTTCAGCCTCCTGAGTAGCTGGAACCTACAGGCATGTGCCACAAGCATGTATCATCACGTCCAGCTAACTTTTTTTATTTTTGTAGAGTCTTGCTGTTGTTGCCCAGGCTGGTCTGGAACTCCTGGCCTTCAGCAATTCTCTGGCCTTGGCCTTCCAAAGCGTTGGGACTACAGGCCTGAGCCGCCGCACCCAGCACTTTTATTATTTTTAAATGGTTGAAACACATCAAGAGAGGAATAATATTTTCTGACACAGGAAAATGATATGAAATTCACATTTCAGTGTCTATAAATAAGGTTTTATTGGAGCACAGCCATGATACAAGACATACCCTCACTGCCTGTGACTGCTTTCGAGTTACGAGGACTGAGTCGAGTAGTTATGACAGAGATCGTATGGGCCGCAAAGCCTAAGATATTTGCTGTCTGGCGCTTTACAGAAAAGGTTTGCCGGCCCTGCCCTGAACAAATAAGGGGACAAATTCCACTTGCCCGTCCATCTGTGGAGCAGAGTCACTGAAAGGAAATACTGGAAATACTGGAAACCACATGGGTGTTTTATCAAGGATGTGAAGTTTCCTGGCAACTTCGTTGCCTCATCATCATCATCATCATCATCATCTGCCCTTTAAGTTTGCTGCTTGTTTAGAAAAGAAATGTATACAGAGCCCTCAGTAGCGGCTGTAAGGGGGCAGGTTCTCGGAGCAGCTCATCCTCGACATTCTTGCCGCTGATGGAAGATTCTTGAGGATGAAGGCCCCCCTATGGGAGCAGGCTCCATCTGTCTGGCTTTAGTAGATGCCAGTTTCTGCTAAGACTAATTCCTAAAGGAGCCTCTCCTCATTTTCCTTTTCTCCCTGTTTTCATTGGGGGGAAGTAGAAGAGGAGAAAAAGAAATTAGAGATGCTTACCTTTTTCTTTTTGCTGGTAATTTAACAGTCTTTTCAGCTGCTTTGATTCCTGTCGGGCCATTGGTGTTGTACGTATTTCAAGATTTGCTCACAGGTCCAAAGCTTGACTTAAGCTCCCTGAGACGTATCATAAAATATGATGTGGGGAAAAACCCTAATGGGCCATGATCAGAACATTATTATTCAACAAAGGATGAAATGCTTAAGCCAAGATGGCCTTCTTTCTTTCTTTCCTTTTTTTTTTTTTTTTTAAAGGAAAGTTGAGCAGACTCCCTTCCAACCGTTTTCAATGTAGGAATTCCCACAGCCCCATGTGATTGCAGTTTGTTGAAAAGTTTAATGTTTTTGTAGGCAATTCATAATTTCCACGTTGAACAGCCTAAGAGGAAGAGAGCTGGAGCCCACTGTTGTTTTTATAGTGGGATGGTGGGAACTTTTTTTTTCCCTCCCCCAAAAGGATATAAAACCAAGTCAGATGGTTGGGAAAACGTGGCACAGGGTTCCAGCCCTTTTGTAAATCTGAGATGCCCCCTCCTTCAGGTCTTCCTTTAGGACCTAACAGAATAGAATTTCCTGCTGCTTAATGTCTCCAGGAAGGAAAAAATTTTCCTCTAGGCTGTAATAGTACCTAATTTCCTTTTTCTTCCCTTTATTTATTTATTTTCCCTATTAATAAGGACCAATTGTAGAAGATGAAGGAAACTGGGAAACCCATCACTTTTGGAGAAGGTTAATAGCTTCCTTTAGAAAATCCTGACATAATACTTATTTCCCCAAAAGGCACTTCATCAGCCTGAATGCCAGTTAAGATTCAAGGAACGGGCTTGGATTTGTGTGTACCCAGCGGTTCTGTGGCATCAAGTTGCACTGGGAAGGAGAGTTTGGGGCTGTCACTGCGGAGTCCCTGCAAGTCAGCAGGACCAGGGCTGTCTTCCTGCACCATCTGGATTTGGTTAGCTCTCTCTGGGCAGTGGGGCCGAGTCTCATTTCCTCCAACAGTAATGTTATATAGGCAATGATCCTGAGCTGCCCTAACATAATTGAAAATTATGTGTATTGTAGGCTTGGAGCGCTGAAATGTAGGCTCATAAAAATATGTGGTGCAGGTAGCCTATGGAGATTGGATGTGGCACACAATGAAGCTTTTATGTAAAGTAAGAATTATAAGTCTCCATGTTAATATTGTATTATGAGTATGACAGTTCCTGGGTGGGTCCTCAGGGCAGGTCTGTCACCTTCAACAAAGCCCAAGTTTCCTAATTTGACAGAGCTAGTATTTGGACGTAATCAAATCAGTTTTGCAGGTGGTCAAAGATGAAAACTTGTCCACCAACGTAGCTCTCCCCACTGAGGGATAGCTTGGGGTGTAGATGGGTTCGACTCCATTTGGCGTTTTTGTTCACGGGTTTTTATGAGATGGAGAGGTGAGTGTTTGTGGGTGTCCACTTTGGTTGGCCTCAAGGAAATGACTCTATTGAGTGGTTTTGACCAATGCAGCGCATATAGTTATGTGATAAGTGAGAATGGGAAGAAGTCGGGGTGAGACGGGGCAGTCAGATTCCCAGAGCCCTCTGGCCTGGGTTACAGATGGAGACTCTGGAAATATTTACTTCAGTAATCAACTTGAGATGATACTGCTCCCAGAGAAGGTAATTGGAAGTGGTAAGATGGTAAGGATGACTGAGGGGGTTCCTGTATTTACTGTCTGGGGGCTTGGAGTCCTAGAAATCCTTCAGTGTTTGGGACAGACTCCCCACCTAATACCCTGTGGCAGATAGGACAACTCCTTCGGTACTCAGATGAAAAAACCAGAGATCACAGAAGCAAGGGGATTCGATGCAGGGTCTTGTGGCGAGTTACAGACACAACGAGACTAATATCTAGGTTGCTCACCATGGGAGGCCTCTGGGTGAAAGCTCTGAATTTGTAGCAGACCCACCCACCTTGTATAGATCCTAGACATCATGGGAAAATCGACTGTGCACTTTGGCAGGTAGTTCTTGGGCAGTGATCTTTCAGCTTTAAGTATAACCAAATTTGGTTTGAATTTACCAAGCCGTCGTATCTTTGAGGAACTCGTCGGCTGACTTGTGGATGGCTTTGGCACTTCTGTCTCATGTGGAATTTGTGCAAACTATTCTGTATTATCCTTTCCTGTCTTTTTTCTTTCTATTGAAATTGTTCTGACCATCAAGACCTAACTCTGTGCAGCCTTCCCCAGTCTCGTGTCCCAGAAATTCTGTCATCTTTCTTGGCATTTCCTGAGTTCCTGAGTCTCTGTCACAGTGTCACCATATTCTGTCTTGATTTACCTGTGTCTGTAAGGCTCCTCATGCTGGCACAAGCTCTGTGAGAGCAGACATCTTTGTATCTCCTAATGCTTGTCACAGCCTGTACACAAAGCAAGTAGTACTCAGTGTTCATTGAGTAAAGTTTTCCATAGAATTACTATTAAAACCAGCCATGTATTTTGCTTGAGGAGGTCTCCAAAATGACCAAGGTGTCTCCTTATATCCCCTCCAAGCATTCATTAACTGATGAATTAGTGAGTTGGCGGTGGGAAACATAAAGGCTCGTCTCCATGTGCTTCTAAGCATTGTGTCTAAGTTCCATTTGGTTTCCTGAGTGAAACTGTCATAATGTTACCAACGGAAGTTAAATGCCTAAGAGTTTCTTATACATGAGCTGAGTACGCCTGTGACTGGGGAAGCCACCTCACCTCATTTTACCTTGTCTGCAAAATGAGGAACTGGGGCAACTCATCCTTCAAATCTCACTGAAAGCTAATGGATTGCTTTTGACAGAAGTAGCTCCCTTGGGCCGTATATTCATTTCCTAGTTTGGAGGAAGGTGGGGACAGACAGAATTGACTTACACCTTTATTTTTATGTCTACGGTAAATAAACCCGTGCATACTAAAGCATTCCTCTGGTCTTTTGAGGTGAGTGTATACATTGTGTCTGGCACCGTGCATCTTTTACCAAGAAGTAATTTTTGTTGAGTAAACTTGGGTTGTGTGAGGAACTGCATGCTCACCGTACTCAAATAGCTTTTGCTACCTAAAGGATAGCTGCTCACATGTACTTGACTTCCTTTAAAGTGAAGGATGATGACATTTGAAAAACAGAGGTTGAGAAGGAGCAGATTTGGAATTGATGGTTTCCTAGGACACTTCTGGCTTGAGATTTGTGTTTTACTTCCTTTGGAATAGCTCTGTATTCCTCTCCCTCCCCACCTCTCCCACTGCCCTCCACCCCCCACCCAATTAAGGTAGTAGCAATGAAATCATTTTTTGCTGAAGCTACCCTGTAGTTTGAATGCAAAGATAACAAATACAGTTGCTAGTAACATTAATCTTCTATATGTGTACCTGTTGAACTTGAGCTCTAAGGAAGAACCTATTGGTATCGCATGCTTTTTCTTTTTTTTTTTTTTTAATGATTATTTGCATGCTTGTATGTTTTTTAGTTTCTGACCCATGTCACAGTTATTTCTTGGGCTAGCTGTTCTGCGTTTACTTTCTGAATTCATTGTTTTCCATTTCACTTTTGTTTCCTCTCGCCAGTATCTCCAGATGAAATGGCCACTGCTTGATGTCCAGGCAGGGAGCCTGCAGAGTAGACAAGCTCTCAAGGATGCTCGGTCCCCATCGCCGGCACACATTGTCGTAAGTAACCTCCCAGAGATGATGGCTTCCTTTATTGAGGGGGTGAAAAAGAAAATGCTTTTTTGATGATAACAGGCCTTATTTGTCATTTTTCTCTTTCTTTAAACAAAATTTCTTTGGAAATATTCTTGGATATAGCTTATGTCTATAAGGTATTCATTTTCTGCTATTGGACCTTAATGACTGTAACCTACCCAGAAATTTTACAAACCTTTCCTCCACTCTTTTCCATGTATTTGGTTAGAATCTAGCCTTGCGGGCTCTAGTTTATGGGACACAATCACCATGGTATGGAGGAGACTAGAAGTGGTATCAAAGCAGTTATAAAAATACATTCAGGGGAGGTGAGGTGAAGAAGAGGGAATTAGAAAACTCAAAAGGGGGTCCTGGATTTGAAACTTGCCTATTACTGTCTCCCCCAATTTATCTTAATATTTGTTGGTAACATTCTACACTAACATTAGACAAATGTCATCTGGGCTGGCTTGATTTGTAAACCTAGAGTATAAATGAACTCAGAAAGGCTAAAATGGAATTTAATCTATACATCTATGACTTTGAAAGTATGTGGGTTCGATAGAGAAAACATTTGTTTTTAGTACTAAGAGACTACAAGTGTGTGTCTACATATATTTTTAATGTATTTTCTTAGGCTCTAAGAGTGGAATTTATAAATTAACCTCTTGAGAAGATAGCTCAGCCTTATTTGAAGATTCCCTTCTATATATCATGAGCTGGACTTCATGCTTTTGAAATAATTAATGGAAGGCACATTTTTATAATGAATCCATCCATGACAGGTAGAATTATGCAAAGCATGAATCAATCATGTATTTTTCATTGAAGTATCACAAGATGTTAATCATAAATACATTTTACTTCTATATTGTAATTTCTAAAAATCGCAAAACAAGTTTCTTAAGTAGAAGAATCTTAAGATGCATTCTTCCATTTTGGGCTAAGTGCCTCCTTATTTTGGAGCTTGCTGTAACTGAACATGTGTTATTTAATGAGTTATACCTCTCTCATATGTGTGTGTATATATCACAAAATAACTTATTTTTGTAAAACCATAATTTGAGTCATCATTTGTGACAATGTCTTCTTTTCTATGGTATAAACGAGGCATGTAGAAAGAAGATTGACATTTGCTAGAAGCTTCCCCTTTCTTCCAACTCCACAATAAAATGGATGCTCATAATTATGTCTGCTCCTATAAGGTCAAGATTTCAGGGCTGGAAGTGACCTTAGATCATTTAGGCCCAACGTGCCCTCAGAAAAGGAAACTGAGGCCCAGAGATGCCTTAAGTGAATTGCCCAATGTCACACGCTGAGTCAGTGGCCAGAGCAAGGCCTGGATCCAGTTCTCTGCTCCCTTTCTAGAGCCTTGTGGTGTCTTCTCTCCTACGGGAGGTGAAAGTAACTTGCTGTGGTTGGTTCTGTTTTGCTGACTGTAAATTGGGTCATGGTCAGGGACAGTGCATAGGTGTAAAGAAGTTGCTAGTTGGGGGTTCTAATGCAGGTTTCTTTGAAAGTGAATGCCCTGTTTAAAAAAATTCATAACAAACATACAGAGATTTTTTAAAAAAGCGTGACAGTTCTAGACACCTAGAGAATAAAGTGAAGAAGCCTGTTTCACTTTTCCCGCCTCCCTGAATTTCCCAGCGTGGTCCAGGCTGTGAAATTTATTTCTCTGCGTTTGGCAATGGTTGATGGGAATTTCCCACATTTATTTTTTAGCTACAGAGAAAGGACATTATCTTTAAAATCTCTTCGTTGTTTTCTCTCTTTGAGTGAGGAGAGAATATGCGAATCCTGGCAGTAGTTCAGAGTGGACACAGCCCCTGTGTTTGTGGCATAGGCTCTGTGGGCCCCATGCCAGGGGGCATTACCCCCGTGCAAGAGTGGGGATTCGTCCATTTGGATAGAGCAATGATTCTCCACCCCAAATTCCATAAGAACATTTGCCGCAACTTAGGCCCTAAGCATCTCATTTTCCTACGTAGAAGTTAATGATCTGGAGGAGATGGCAAAACATTCCTTCCAGAGCCTGTGTGGATTTTGGCCAGGGGTGCAGCAGGGGGGCTTAGGCCCCTTCTTCCTCTGCTGTGTCTGTCTTAGCAGGTGTGTTGACCCACAGCAACTCCCCTGGGGCATACACACCATCTTGTAGTTGGAGACCTTTGTCCAAAGCAGCCACAGCTGGCAACTGTCCTACAATCTTTTGTGCTTTCTGCTGTGCCAAAGGGACCTGGGAATGGCCATTGCCTAGAGGGGATGGGCTGGTGGAGGAAGGTGGGCTCTGGGAGCTGGGGAGAAGGAAAAAGCCATGAACTTGGACAAAAGGACAAATGTGGTTTACGGTTGCGAAATACTTGAATGCTTGTCATGAATGGCGACTTTGGTTCTATCAGTCAGCCCTGTGATGGGGCTTTTCTGCAGTCTTCACCTGACACCAGGGGTGAGAAGGAGGATGTCTGGGGAGGAGGAATTATTTGAGGGAGATAGGAAAGTAGAGTGGAAGAAAGGCCGTGAGTTTTTGACCTCCATCCACCTGGTCACCTCTAGTTTTGGGGATTGAGGATGCATACACCTTGAGACTACAGATTTATGATTATATTTTTGCTGAATGTAAGGCAATGTGCCAACCAAAACCAGCTGTACCTTGGCTGGTACGGTGTGTCTGTGTTTGTAAAGGGCGCATTCTGAATGGTGGCTGATACATCATTTGGGTCTTTGTAGAGTCAAACATCGGCCAGAGGGTCTGGTTCTTGTTTGGAGTCGCTGATGAAGGGCTAACTTTTCTGCAGACACTTGGGGCTCTTGCCCACACTTTGCTTTTCATTCTTTTTAGTAAGACGTTGTCACATCACAGTGTTTCATCAGACATGTTTCAAAATAATTGTCTAAGGATTGCTTCCTAATTTCTCCGAAATTTGGAATTGTTGTAACTTTTGGGCCAAGCTATTTCATAATTATTTCTACTGTCTTGCTTGGAGAATTAGGGATGTATTCAGTGTTTATTATTAGTCATTCGAAACTACAACTTTCACAGATTGCTAAGAAGAATAACTTTTTCCAGTACCCATTTGGGGTAGAATCTTCACGTGGGAATTGAGAGCATTTCGCTGGACTATTTTAATCTGATTGGATTATTTTCATGTGGTATGTGGGTTACCACATTAGAAAAAATTGATGTGTAGAATAAATGTTCTTAACAAGTGGAGGTCAACTTATCAAATGATATTTCAATTAAGAATAGACTCCACAAATTTTAGTTCCTGTAGCTGATATAGCATCTCGTTTGTTACAATCCAGTGATTCCTAATCTGTGTTCAGAGGAGAGAGGAAATTGATTCCAACAGGGATGATGTCTTCATTGGCTGGCCCCAAACTGGGAGTTTATACAAGGCATTAGTCTTTGCCTTCCTCCTCCCCGCCTTCCCTCTCTCTTCTTCCCTCCCCACAACCCCCAACAAATTCATGGACTTCTTAACAACTCGGAGACATTAGCCACAAGTTCCAAGACACCCCCAGCCCCCAGCCTCCCCAATCCTATTTTTGCATTCACATAACTAAGCTCTTTTTCTTTCTTGGTGGAGTTTTGAAATTTATATTTTTAATTCTTTGCTCCCTTTTCCCCTCTTACAAAATGAGTGCCAAGCAGCTAAGTTGTGCTGAGTGGTAGAGTTTGAGTCAGTCTTGGCTGGTAAGCTGTGGGGTTAGGAGCCGCTCCCTGGATACCACCTCCGGTGTCTGTGCTATACAAAGACTTTCATTTAGCTTCCTTTGTATCCAGCAAAAAAAGATTCTGTACCCCAAATGGTGGTATTTTGGTATAGTATATGTCTTACAAAATGGCAAAAGGCTTCAAAAGTTCCTACAGTTTTATCTTGGGGGTTTCCTTTTGAAGTCGATGTAGAATTTTACCTTGGGGTGGATTTTTTTGTGCTTCTTGGTCTGGTGTGTTTTGTTGTGTAATGAGCATGGAGGTGTGGGATAAGAAAGCAGACTGAATCCTGAGGAACAAAGCCTGCCAGACTGTGGTGGTGTACTTTTCTTGTTGTTATTGCTTAAATGCTGCAAGAGAGTGGAAAACTCTTACGAAATAATGCACGATGGGTAGAGCTTCAGAGAAAGTCTCTGCCATCTACCCTGTGCATTTTCAAGGAAGCTCAGAGGGCATGCTGAACCTTTGCTTTTTGTTTCTGAAGAGTTCAGGGGAGCCTACCCATAATTAATTTTTTAAAACACTACCTAGAGAGCACCCTCTTGGTTATTAAACACATGTGTTGTTTCGATGGGACGTTTGACCTGGATTCTGGATGCTTGCTGGGATGTGGCATGTGTTGGGAGGCTCTCTGCTGCCTGCTGAGCACCAGCAAAGTCATGGTGGCCCCTACCTCTGTGGGAGGCCCTGCGCCAGGTGCCCTCAAAGAGTAGAGGGCCCATGAGGCTATGACCAGGGGGACCTGATTTCAGCTGAGAAGTTGGTGGGGATTACAGGCCTGGGCGGCTCCCTGAGGAAATTGCATTAAAAGTGAGATCTGAAGACTTGATTGGGGTTGGCCCCGTGAAGGAACAGGAGAAGGGATGGGGAGTGTGCAGAAGCAAACACATGTATGAAAGTCCTCAAGGGAAAAGTGCTTGGTTTGGACAGAGGCAGGAAATCAGGTAGGAGGCTAGAGGTTGGGCAGGGCTCCGGGCGAGTGACGTGGGGTGCAGCATATGGTGAGGATTTGACACTGGGGAGTCACTTGAGCAGGTTGGCTGTTTCAATAGGAGCGTGTGTTAAGCTGGCAGCGGGGATGCTGAAAATAGAGATGTGGAGGAAACAGCAGCGGAGCTTGCTGATAGGTTAGATATTGGCATTGAGGGAGAAAGGAGAGTCAAAGGTAGGTAGCTGGAGACGCTTCACTGAATGGAGAGTATTGGAGGAGGAGCAGGTTTGGGGTGGAAGCGTTGTCTTTTTGGAGAGATTGTATTTGCCTTTGACTGAT